CGACTTCACAACAGCTACAAGGATCTGGCAGAAGGGAAGCGATGCCGAGGTGTGGTGGTGGCATCTGCAACGTTCGCCGCGGTGACCTCTTGACCTTAACTCAGACGGGCGGCGGCGGTGGCGATGCACGTGTCTGCCCGTAATCCAGCACCCGTGGAGGAGGCTCCGATGAGGTTGTCGTACCCCTTGGCCCTGCCAGGAGGAGGAAGGCGCGACAGCGAACGAAGAGATGCACGCGCACGTGCACGATCTTGTGCCTCCTCTCGCGCGCGTGGGGGTTTCTCCAGGAGCTACGGGTTTTCCCTGCCACACGTAGACACAGTGATGAATTGGCTTCGTTTGTAATCTTAATACATAAATGGATCGCAGAATTTGGGCAGTTGTTGGCAAACAGCTGCTGCAGCTGCCTTGTAGCCTTTTCTGCGATTCCACAGCGATCGTGAGATGGTATTTGCAAGAACGACGCAAACTCTAAATTATGCTATACGCATGTGTCCTTCCAAACATCCAGATATTTGGGACGACATGGATTTGAGGTCCCGGTCAATAAAGTTGTCGAAGCGCTATGCTGCGAGCGACTAATTCTGTCCAATCACAGCCACTTACGATCAGCGCCGCGAGTGTGAAAGCATCACACGGGCGCCACCAGTGGCCGCTACGGACCAACACCCCACTTTGAAAAAAGGGCACTCAACTCGGGAGAATTGGTTTGGGTTTGCTTTGAATCGTCATCGTAATCATCAGCCGTGATCATTCCACTGGTGGATGAACGCACCGTCGCCACCTGATGGTTTTGCATCGTGTAAATACGTATAGAGGAATACATAAATTAATCAATCCATCCTAGAATCTGACCCCAAATGCCAGCGGAACAATGAACGCTTCATTCGAGACCCAAATATTGAACAGCTCCTGGCCTTTGGCATTCCTCCTCCAAGAAAATGGTGGAAGCATCGACCGCATCAGGAAATCAACAGGTTTGGTGGGCGCATCTCCTTCGTAAATGGAACGTTAAAGACAAGCCACAACGGTGTGATTGTGGTCATGCAAAACTAAAACTATGGACCATACAATAAACCCATAGAGATCTACAGAGATACATCGAGATACTTAGAGACAAATATAGATACTGCTACACAGAGACACACGGAGATACAATACAGACAGAGATACATTAAAGACAATCCACAGAGTGATTGTGACCATGCAAGCCATAACTCTGGACCATACAGCTAACCCATAGAGACCTACAGAGATACTTAGAGACAAATGGAGATACATAGGGGCACATAAAGATAAATTCATAGAAACAAATATAGATACTGCTACACAGAGAGACACAGAGATGCATAGAGACACACAGAGATACATTAAACGACAATCCAGAGTGCGATTGTAGGCATGCGACCCAAACTATAGACCACACGGTAAATCACTGCAGTCTTCGCTCCTTCAATCGAGGAACGGCAAAACTTCGCGAACTCCTGAAGCCCTCCCGCTGTGGTCCGCAGCAGACCTCGACATCGGCTCCTGGACCATACAATTGCTCCAGCCATCATTCGCAAGAATAAGAGTCCATATAATTCTAGATTTGAAGCTTTCGTGACTGCAAGTATTCATATTCTTAGGTTTTTTCGGTAAAGTCATGTAGGTACATTTTTTAATTCATTTATTTTACTTTTATTAATTAAATTTTTTACCTCCGTGACTTTACCGAAAAAACCTAAGAATAAGAGTCCATATAATAAATCCCATCAGCACGTCATCGCTGCGGTCCTCACCGTGGCGTTCCAAGCCGGTGGGAGACACGGAACACCGACTCCAGTGTCTGGCCAAATGCCCCCCGAGTCGGGACAATGTCCCAGGACATTGCGCTTTGTGACAGACTCAATCAATGGGACTTTTCAATTCAATCGGAAATGTGACACCGGCAATTGAGAACGTTGACTTTGAACACGCACCATCATCTCGTGCTCGTCTTTGTGAGAATAGATGTCACACTTTGTACGTTGTACAAACATAGGACGTGAACTTATTTTTGTACCAGCTACCAAGTATTGTTTTTATTGACCCACAGACCCAGAAAGTACGATTGGCTGATCTCATGATTTATGCTGAGAGGGGTGGGGGAGTCTGATACATCTTCTCCGTGAACGTGTGTTTAACCACGTGTGTGGGGAGCGGTGGCGCAGTGATTAGCGCACCGCGCAACAAACCGGACCCATACTTATAGGTTTTTTCGGTAAAGTATCAATACAGTATTGTATTGATAGTATTGTATTGATACAGCAATTCTGTATTGATACAGTACATTTAGCTGTGACGGTCCCACCTGATGACGGAGACTTGTGTTGCCTCCGAAACGTCGTGATTTATTATTTTATGTCTACTAGTACGTATATTATTTTATTATTTACTTATTTTTTACCTACGTGAATCCTTGCAGTCACGAAAGCTTCAAATCTAGAAACGGGACCCACCCGAGTTCGATTCCCGCTCACAGCCTAATCGGTGATGAATATCTAAATCTGTCCTGGGCCTCCCCGAGATCGACTCAGCCTTAAATGAGAAAGTACCTGGTTGCAGTGTGTAAACATCACCACTGGGACGTTTGGCTTTCCCGGGTCAAAAGTTTAAATCAATCAAAGAAATCACACCACACATCTTACATTAAAACATCTTACGTTAAATACATCTTATATTAAACATATATTACAGTAAACACATATTATCTTAAGAACATCTTACATTAAACACATCTTACATTAAATCATCTTACATTAAACGCATCTTACAGTAAAAGTTTCACATAGAACAAAAGAATGCAGCAGTAGTCATACGACTCATCTTGGCTCTCCTGGATAAATAAAGGCGCAGCTCTGCAATTCCTTTGCTCACGCCACTGCTGACGGAAGGGGTCTCCGCGAGAGGAGGGGGGGGAGGGGCTGTAGAGAGACCCCGATCGGGGGCGGGGGGGGGGTGACGCAATCTCTGGCAATCGTCTCCCCCACGGCTCCATCTGCAACATTCACCACGCGGCTGTCCTCCTGATGGGAATCATTTAAAACGAGTTGCACGGAACGACGACTTTGAGCTCTGGCTACCCTCTGGAAGGAACCCCCCCACACCCCCTCCACCACATCCCCCCACCCCCTGGAAGGACCCTCTCCACATCCCCCACCACATCCCCCCACCCCCTATAAGGACCCCCGCCCCCACCCCCACATCTCATGACCAGCGTGCCCCGCTGGGGGTAGCCTACGCAGGCGGACTGCTGTTGTTTCGTCTCCCCTCCTGTCGATGTATAAACTCCCAGCGAGGCGACAGTCAGGGGGCGTGAGGACGAGCGAGAGAGGGAGACGATGTAGCGAGATGAAGAGGCACGTGCACGGAAGATAAGAGCCGCAGTGAGATGCGACGAGAGATACAGACGAGCGTGGAATGCGGTGAAATGAGAGAGTCGTAGACTCGGGGCGGAGATGGCAGCGAGACGAACAGCGCTGTAAGATAGAGGCGAGAAAGAGCGATTCGCTCTGATGTGAATCTTCTTTCTTATGGCTGCTGCTGCTGCTGATGTAGAGCAACAGCTACAATGTCACGTTCAGGTTCAGACAACTGCGTCAGAAGTGTATCATCATCATCATCATGGCTCTGATGTCTCCTTCTTCGTATTTGTGGATCGGGGCATTTCGTTGTTCCACGTTGTACTCCGGTCTCTGTTCTGGATGACCGCAGTCGCCACACTACTACTGGAGAGTCTTTTTAAAAAAAGATTTAACATTTGTGCATCATCAGGGTATCCTCATCTCAGACCTGTCAACCCCTTATCAGTGCCCCACTTAATTACAGACCAATTCAGACCCTATTGGTCACCCCGTGCCCTAGTAAATCTCAACGTTCATCCCACAAAATCCCATCACAAGGAGAGAAACACAAACAATTAAACAAAAAAAATTGTGCCCGAATTGAAAGGGCTGTACGCCGTATGGACCTGAAAAACTCAATTCCTCTGTACAAGAACACGGGGTAAGCCGTGTGGGTCGACAGCTTCGGCATCTCCTGCCGTGGTTTGTGCAGTGGGTGCGCGGTTTAGGGTGGACCACGAGCAGCTTCGTGAACGATCAAAACCAGGGAACTTTGAAAGTGAATTATCCTAAAGGACCATTGGCCACACCGTGGCTTGTAATATTTTAACAACTTTAAGGCCGCAGTCTTATTGACGAACGGGTTTCGTTTTTCTTCTTCTTAAGGAAGACATTGAATTTGAGCTCATAGCTCATGCCAGCAATTGCATTGTTCTTCTTGGTTCTTTCGGTAAAGTCACGTAGAATTGAAATAATAAAATGATAAAAATAAAACATAATAAAATAATTCTCACGACGTTTCGGCCACAACAGAGTCTGAATGTCTCCTCGACAGACCTGTTCTCCACCTGAGGACGGCTGCTTGCGTTGTGGCCGAAACGTCGTGAGAATTATTTTATTATGTTTTATTGTTATCATTTTATTATTTCAATTCTACGTGACTTTACCGAAAGAACCAAGAAGATGAATCCCTGCAGTCACGAAAGCTTTAAATCGAAATTGCATTGTTGTTGCGTGTCCACAACGCCCAAGGCTGCTGGGAGCCGCATGTCCGAGCGCGCCACCAGTGGCCGTCGGCTCGCAGTGAGATTATTGAAGGAAGGTCCCACGAGGAAAAGCGAACTCCGGTGTCTTTTTGGGGGGGGGGGGGGTGCAGCCCCTGCCACCCCCCCCGTGCGGGCTTCTCAAAACAGGCCACGTGTCGCAAGGAAGTGACTGCCCCCGCCTGGGCGTGCGCGCTGTACGCTAAAGCGCTTGTACGCAATTTCCGAATCCAGAAGATCTCCTCCTCCGCGCCACCCACCCACCCCCCAACATCCAGGCGGCCCCCTTCTTCCCTCTCCTCCCCTCCCTCTCCTCCTCCTCCTCCCCCCCTGCTCGCCCACCCCGCCTACACGGCCGAGCCAGCAGCAGCGCGCGCGCCTCCCCTTTAACCCGTCAGCGGTGTGCGCCGCGTCTAAGGCGCTGCGCGGTCGTCTGCGGGGAGAGAAGTTGCTGGGCACTGGACGGAGTTGCGCTCCGCTCTTTTTTTTGCCGGGGGAGCATCGCCTTGCCGCCGGGACATGGCTGCGACGCTCGGTTCACGCTAAACCCCAGCGCGGCATCTCCCCCCCCCTCCCCGACTCACCCCCCAGCAACCCCGAAGAGTCAACGAGAAGAGCTCCCGACGACGACCGCTGCAGCAGCCGCCGCCGCCGCCGCATCTCGTCGCGGGAAGACCGCGGAGAGACAAAGGCGGACGGGGAACGGGATCTTCCCGCGACGCCGAGCCCGATCCGAGGTGGCTCCTTCCTCCGATTATCCCGTACGCACCGCCACCCTCACTCCCACTCCTGCACTCGGTAGGAGATTCTTACCCCGTTCCAAACATCCACCGCCGCTCTTTGTGACGGATCCGTCGCGACTCTTGCTTGGGCCCGCGCGCTCTTGCGCTGTCCGCTCCGACTGGGAAGAGGAGGACGGTCGGCTTCGCCGTGGGTGACGGGATGGGGATCTTTGCCCCGCTTAGCCTTGGATGGCCATCCCTGGGATTGATGGCGCAGCCTGGGATGGATTCCCCTCCCCCCCCTCCTCGCGCCTTCTGCCGTGCACGTTGAGTGAGCGCTTCAGCTGTTTTAGTTAATGAGAGCCGAGAACGTCTCGGTGACGAACCCACGCTACTCTCTGACTCGGATAATTGTTGTCGGATGTGTTCGTTGTTGTTTTGTTGGTGGTGGGGTAGGGGATGGAAGTGTGTTTGTGGGGGGCCGAGTGGAGGTGAGGCGCTGGTGCCCCCCCCCCCTCCCGTGATATTGTTTGGCTCTTCCAGACCACAACGTGTCGAACGCGCGCGCGGCTCCACAATACGCGACTAGTATATGAATATTCACGTGAAATGTTGTCTCTAAACCCGTGCGGGAGAACAAATATTCCAACGGCGATGTTCGTCATTTCTCGTAAAGTGACACCGCGCACTTAAACGGTTGCCTAAGAATGCTTGTGACTCGAACGTGCAAACTTTTATCGCTTAGAGATGATGATTATGATCACCCGACCGATACGAAATTATCGTCCGTAGTAAATCAACTGCTGGATGAAGGCATTTGTCTGATCTGTCGCTCCTGTGGGGGGGGGGAGGGGGGGGGTTTGACCATACTTCACCACGCTGGTCAGTGCGAGTTGAAAAGGGATGAGGCGTGGGAGGGGGGGCGATTCAGATCAATCGCCACTGATGTTGGCCGTGCACGGAAATCGAACTCGGGTTGGGCAGGGGGGGGGTTCGTAAGCGTTGCAGTGCGGCTAATCGCTGCGCCACTGTTCATTGTATCCCCGAAACAATTGTCAAAGACTGGGTTTATAGTGACCGATTATCCTGGCAATATAAAGATTTATTATAGCGATGCAATTTACTACTCGTCGAGTCTAGAGATTCGACTTCAAGAGGGGTTCCTGCCACGTTTGGATGTTTGGCCGAATCCAATCATGAGCGATTTGGCTTTTTCACGTGGCAGGACGCACGGAGAATCTGGAAAAAACCCATCACGTACACGATACGGGCAGGGTGGTGCCAGGTTGGAGACTTAAAGCTCCGCACAGATTGATTGAAGAATCCGTGTCCCTGCGATGCATCTGGTGCCACGCACTACGTGGCATGCGCGTTGGCTGTCTCCCCTTCCGAGCGGGAACTGGGATCCAGTCGCCGGATCGGCTTCCCCCGAGATCGGGGCGATCGGGTGACGATTTTGTCTCACGTGGTGGTGGTGGTGGCGGCGAGGATGATAATAACGATGTTCACCAAATCCGCACTGACCAGCGTGGTGAAGTATGGTCAAACAACCACCACGACACCACGCATGGTGACGTGGAGAGACTTTCGTCTGTAGCATCCGTATGATGATGATGATTGTGATAAGTCTCCGACGCAAGTAACTCGGCTAAACCTCCGCTGCTGGTAAATGCAACTCAACAACTGTGCAGCCTCATTATCGATCCGCTGCTGGATTAAATTGGGGGTGAGGAGGGGGAGAGAGAGAGAGAGAGAGGGGGTCAGGACCGGCAGAGAGAGACAGCTCTTCGTCACTGGTGCGGTCTACGCCGAGGCCGCGAATCGAACTCGGGCTGCCCGGTTGGAGAAAGCTGCGGTGCGTGTGCGCTCACCACAGCGCCACCGCTCCATCCGCCGCTGGGTTTAAACCGAGGGGGGACCTTGCTGAGAGCCGGATTGGCTCCCGGGCTCCTCCCAATGTCCACCCTGCGTAACGGAGAGTGGGGGGAGGTTCCGAAGCGCAGGGGGTTGGTGGAGAGGATGGAGGGATTGGGGGGTGGGGAGAAGTAGCGGGTGGGAGTGGATGGGGCAGCCACGTAGGCACAGTGGGGAGGATGATGGTGTGGGGATGGTGGTAAGGGTTTGGGGATGGTGGTGGTGGTGGGGATGAGGGTGGTGGTGGGGATGATGATGTGGTGGTATTCCTCTGCGTTATTTCTTTCTCCATCTGCTGCCCTTGCTTAGAACACGCGTGACACGTGTACACGCACCAGGCCGCTGTGCCACATATCCACTGCCGTGCGCCTCGTCGTGGGGGGTGAATGCGCCATACTTCACCACGCTGGTAGTGCGGGCTCGTAAATGCCACGAGGGAGCATAGAGGGTACAATACAACAATGGATTTTGCGATAAACAATACAAACCCTCCCCTCTTCCCCCACGCTAAACAATACCAGCGAGGCGATGTAATATATACACAGCAATGCGTCCCCCCATTCTTGACGTGGTGGCATAGACGTACAGCATAACAATTGATGCTGACGCAGTGTCCTACGCCGTCCCACGAAGACGTGGACACAATGGCATCTCCTTGTTCAAGGTCGTCCGCTTGAGACCAACACCGTTGCTGGATGGCGCCCGGTCGCGTCGGATCTCGGAAACCCACGGGGTTGAACCCGGGCTTACTGCTTGGGGGGTGTGTGGCCGCCAATAGGTGGCTTGCCAGGTGCTGTAGGCAGGTGGCTTGCCAGGTGCTGTAGGCGCGTGGCGGTGGGCCCAGTTGCTGAGCGTTAGCGCTCCTCGTACGCGCGCGGTGTGTGGTTGGGGGGGGGGTCCTCCAGGTTCCACAAGTGTCCGAGATTACGCAGTGTGCACAGTAGTGGCATGTGAGCACGTGCCAATTAGCAGCTAGACGGAGACAACGCGAACATCTATAGACTCGGATGGGCTCGGGTTTCAAAACTCCAGTCCTAGTGATCCACCATCACCACCCGCTTCGTCTTGCCGTGTTTACCAATGTACTCCTCCCCCATTCAAATAAAAAAATTGACTCATCCCACGCTGCCCGCGCCCGATGATTGCTCAACACGTCCCACGTGACCTACTTAGCAATTAACGCTGTCCGCGTCACGTGTTCCGCGTGTACATGCGCACGCGCGCGTGCATCGATATCTCAATCTTAATTGGAATCGGCTCGATTGCCTCGTAGAGCCGTTAATTGATGAGCGTGGGACGTGTTTGCCAATCATCCGGCGCGTACCGCGTGCAACGGGTTAATTGTGGTGGTGGATCGCGTGACTGGAGTTTGGGAAAGCCTTGAATGAGCTGGGACTGTCGCGCAGCGGGTAGCGCGCTGCGCTACGAAACCCATCCAGCAGTAGATTGACAACGGGCTGTAAACGTGAATGCGTTTTCTGGGAAAGTTTGCTGGAATGCAGTAACAATGACATCATTAATCAGAAAGTCGTGGTGGGAGGGGGGGCGTCCAATCGTCTGGAGCCAAGAAAGTTCGAGAATTTCGCCTCTGTGCGGGCTCCGACCACCACCACCCCCACGGGTCGTTTCACAGATTCCACCTCCTCTTATACACAGACACGCCGTGTGTGTGTTTGTGTGTGTGTGTCAGTCTGTGTGTGTGTCTGTCTCTGTCTGTGTGTGTGTCTGTCTGTGTGTGTGTGTGTCTGTCTGTGTGTGTGTCCACGACGATTGCTCTATACACATGCCTCGCTGGTGTCAAGTGGACGCCGATTCAATATTACAATTCTAAGATAATATATTGGGAGTGTGTGTCTCCTACTCACGTGGTAATAGATCACTCAGTCGGTTGACCTGCTGGGAGGTTTACCCACGAGCTGTTCCGAATAATTCGCCACTGATGCTGCCCATGAGCGTGAATCGAACTCCTGATTCCTCACCCAGCGGCTAATCACTACACGACAGCCCCCCCCCCCCCCCACAAAAACAGAGACAAAGTTCCCCTAGTATTGCCTTTAACAGACTGTCGGGCGGGGCAAGTGCTGTTAGCGAGCACCTGTGATGGGGTGGGTGGGTGGCCAACACCACGCCACCTTTGTCTCCCGCGTGGTAATATTTACTCATTTGAGGCCGAGTCGACCTAGGAGAGGCCCAGGACCGGTTCAGATAATCGTCACTGGTGTTTTGGCCGTGAGCGGGAATCGAACTCGGATCGCCGGGTTAAATAGACTTTTTAATAAATGTTTTCTCCTACAACATCAGAGTGCAGCGGCACATTACATACACACTACAATGACAGTAGTTTAAAGCGATTTTAAGCATGTTTTATTTGGGGGGGGGGGGGGGGCAGAGCTTTGTGACGTCATTTGAGGGGGGGTCTGACTTTTTGTGACGCCGTGTGACGATGGGGGGGGGGGGTCAAAAATCGTCCAAAATCGCGTGACGTCATTTATGGACGGCCCCTAACCCCACTACACTACCTGCTCCCCACACACCACACCACACAGCCTTAAACGCGCGTACCTGGCGTGGCGTTGACACTTTGGTTAGACAAAGGCACCTAACCAATAGGTGCTCGTTAACAGCACACTTTCCCCGGCAGTCTGTGCAGGCTATACCGGGGGGTGGGGGGGGGCTTTGTCTTTGTGTGCGCGCGCGCGTTCGCTTTCATGTGAGCGATGATCGTGGGAGCTCTTTGTGAAACGCGAGTCTCTTCTTAAAAGGGAACTCGTTCCGACGCTCCCCCCGCCCCGATGAGTTATGAGAAGTGCGAACGGGGATGGCGGTGCGAGAGCGGAAAGCGGGGCGGTGTTTGCTGGCCCGCACGGATCCTCTCTCGCTGTCTGTGTCTCTCTCCGTGTCTCTCTCTCTGTGTCTCTGTCTCTTTCTGTGTCTCTCTGTCTCTGTGTGTCTCTCTGTCTGTCTCTCTGTCTCTCTCTGACTCTGTCTCTGACTCTCTCTAAGTCTCTGTGTGTCTCTCTCTGTTTCTGTGTCTCTGACTCTGTTTCTGTCTCTGTGTGTCTCTCTCTCTCTGACTCTGTGGCTCTGTCTCTCTCCGTGTC